TAATTAATCTGGAGGAAGGAATTTCAAAGCAGTCTAATGTTAAGGTGATGGAATAGCTACTGTTGGCCAGATTTATGTTGAGAATCAAGAGCAGAGCCCAGAAGAATGATTCAAAATGTTGTGAGTATGGCCAGCAAGGAAGTTCCAGTGAAACTGATCCTGCAAAGATAGAACAGGAGAGAATTTGGTTGCTGAAAAGATTAGCAATAAAAGCCAAGTATTTTGGAAGAGGACAATAGAAAAGATGCCCTGAGGATATCACAAGAACCACCAGTACTCCATCATTTGCAGCCTCAAAATAGTACAAGTGAAAGACTTTGCTTTAAGAAGAGAATTCCTGGGCACCACATTTCAGAATGGCTACATCCTAGAAAATTTGTTCTTGGGACTGGGCACATAGCACTCAGCAATCCAGGCACTGGAGCCCCACAACCAAGAGAGAAGGAGGCCTGGCTATACTTTCAGTTGGTGGCCGACTTTGGCATCACCCATGTGGTAGTGCTTTTAGATGTATGCAGTATGCAAGAGTTGTGGGGTCGGGAAGGCTTCTACCCAGATTTGAGAAGAAGGAGCCCAGGCAGTGAGCCCCTGAGAGGGCAGTGTGCGAAGTTGTGAGTAGCATAGGAGACTCAAGAAAACTGAGGAAATCAGAAGTATGGACTGTCTGAATAAAACTCCATGGAGTGAACAGAGCCAGTCCAAGAGAGAAGCCAGGGGAGCTATAACTACCAGCAGTGCCACAGGGGCAGAGCTAGCCAAGCCCTTTGAAGTCTACATCTTGCCACAGATTGTACCAGATGCTGAATGGACATGGAACTATGGGATTTCATGTTTGTTCCACGGGATTTTGGACTTGGTTTGGCTTGAATCCTTTCAATTCTCTTATTTGTACCTTTTGGAATGGGAAAGTTTACTTTGTTTCATTTTATACTGAAAGTGTTTAATGTTCTTTTCACTTATACAGGGGCTCACAACTAAGAGTTTACCTTACATCTCAGAGGAGACTTTGGAGTTGGAGTTTTCAGCAATGCTAAAACTGTTAGGAATTTGGCAACTCTTAGAGATGGACTAAATGCCTTTTGCATAAAGGGATGTGCATGAGTCTTTTGGGGGTCAAGGGCAGAATATTATGATTATGTCTAGATGTCCACACAAAGCCTCAAACACTCCTAGGTAGGGCTTTTTAGAACTGGCTGGATCTAGGACATGTGATACTGGGATTAAGGTTGTGTAGTACTAAATTAGTCTACTGATTGGAATTAGCATAGTGCTGGGTGTGGATAATGAAAATGCTCATCCTGGCTATGGGTGGCACTGCCCAAAATGCTTGTAGCCTAGATGAGTTAAAAGGGAAAGAAGGCAAGCTTGCTGCCTGCTATCACTACTTGTTTGCTTTCTGCCTCTGCTTGCCATGCCATGCACTGTTTCTCCTCTGTGTGTCACCTTGCTTTGGAGCCAGGTGTGAACTGAAAGATCTACAAACTGTGAGCTAAAATAAACCTTTCCTCCTTTAAGTGTGGGTGCTGAATATTTTGTCTCAACAATGAGAAAAGTAACTAAGATAGCACTCTCTACAAACAAGAGTCTCCTCACAGACTTTGTTCACTCAGGTGACACATTTAGCCCATTGTGCAAAGGGGGCGCTTGGGAAGGTTACACATAGGATATCTCTCTGACCTCCAATGTTTGCCTATACTATTTTTTTTCTTACTGTGTCATATCCTTTGCTTTAAAATAAAAGCCTTTGTGGGGGCTGGGGATTTAGCTCAGCAGCACAGCACCTGCCTGGTGAGCGCAAGGTTGTGAGTTCAATTCCTGATACTGGAAAAAATAAAATAAAATAAGAAATAAAAAATAAAAGCCTCTGTGAATAAACTTTGGTGAATCCTTTCAAGTAACCCAAGTGGGGAAATCTTTGCAATGGCATATCCACATAATATAATACTATGGAGCTGTAGAAAATTATGTGGAATGTACCTGTGAACAGATATGGAAAGACAGCCATGATACACTGTTAAATAAAAATGCAGATGCACAACTGCAATATAGTATACTAATTCTGATGGGGAAGAAAAGGAAAGAAATACAAGAGCTTATGTTTGCTTGATATGTATAAACACAAATATGAAAGCACAAAAAAAATTTAAACAGTTACTATAAAAAAAGAAGCAAGATATCTCAACCTATAACTTTTAAGTGAAATAAATCAGACACAAGGTTAAATATTACATACTTCTTTTTACATGAGAAGCCCAAAATATAAATAAAAAATGAAATAAAGTAGGGAGATAGAACTTTCTCAAATGGAAAGGGGGTCAAGACACAGGGGTAATGAAGAAAAAATTAAAATGTGTTACATAAATGTACCAACTTCCCACAAGGGATGTAATAATTATGCCCTGCAAATATGTACATGGATTTTTAAAAATATATGAATATATTACTGATCCAAAAAAAATGAAACTTCAAAAGTTAATAAAAAGGAAAAGAAAAATTAAGGCATGTGACCCAAGAGGTATGACAAGGTACTATAAGGGTTCATATTAAGTATCAAGAAATAAAGGTGGAAAAATAATAGACACGCCAAAGTGCAACATAAACACGCACAGTCAAAATAAACTGCAGTGCAAAATGCAAGGCTGAAGTTTCACCGGGTGCCATGTAAAAGACTTGGGTTATTGCTTTAGGGTTATTGGTCAGGATTTTTGAACAGCAGCACTAATGACATTTCAGGCAGGCTACCTAGTTGTTGTAGGAGGCTGTTTTGTGCATTTATGGATGTTTAGTAGTATTCCTGACCTCTGCATACTAGATAAAAGTCACCCTCCCTTCCGCCAGTGGTGACAACAGAAACGCTCTCCAGACACGGCCAAATGGAGAAGAGGCACCAAAGTTGTCCTATGACTTTTAAGGGAGTGTCACTGCTTTAACTGATCTGAGTAGGAAGTAGATTTTCTGAGCAGCTTATTAAATTTTTTCAAACGTTTCTAGTGAATATTTTCCTGGCAAATGGTCTATATTCCAGAACTACTTTGTCATTGAAATGGCAAATATTTTATAAGCTTTTCCAGTTCTAAAAATTGTTATCATCATCCTGATTCAGCCAGGGTGTTATTTTGTAACTTCTTTTGAGTAACATCGATTTACCAGAAACATTTTTATTAACAGAACGTTTAAATTGCTGAACCATCAGAGTGGTCTTATCACTTGGAAACTTTTGTGAGAGCCTCTTTCTATTTCTTGAATGATGTTAGAGAAGTGGAATTAATACTGGTGTCCACATGGATGTTTTCCACTAGAATTTCTTATGTATGATCGAGGGAAGGGACATGTCTAATGTGTAGAAGTGATCCTGTTACTTCTTTCCTTTTTTTTTTTCTTTTACCCTTTCCTGGGGAGTCTGGAATCCTTCAAAATCCTTCAAGAAATTGTCCAGGGGGTGATAAGGCCATCATTAGTGCATTAGCTGCACATCCGTCACAGGTCCCATCTGTTGATCTAAACCCAAGAAGCCCTGCCCTTTGCCGTAGATCACAGTTCTGGCAGCAGAACTCGGGGTAGGTTTGTGAACTAGAGACCTCTCCGTCGGCTCTGCACAGGATCTTCTCAGAGTCATCCGTGTAGTCATAATTATTTTTAAGTATAATTGTCCTGTTTCTGAAGAAAGCAAACCAGCCCGGAGCCAGGAGACTGAACCACATGCATCTGCCTAGCTTAATGTAAAATTCCTTTCCATCTCCTGGTCTTATTCTAGGGGTTTTTTTTTGTTAATTTCAGTTCCAGGAGCAAGAAGGAGTGCATTTCCCAGGACAGTCATCTTGGCTTTCCCTGTTCCTAAACTCAGGTGAAAGGGCTTCACCACTGCAAGACAGATCAAGAAAAGCAGGACAACGACGCCGGTTTTAAGGCTGCAATAGAAAAAATATTTTCAGCCTGAAAACACTGGAGTCTAGAGACTGTATATTCTGAAATAAATCTCGAGTTTAAAACTGGATCTGAACTATCCGCTCCTCTTTCTTCCCGAGCGCCTCCTGATCCTCGCCACCAGCTTGCCTGCATGGCGTGCATGCGTGCATGCAGACTTGGGACTCGCCAAGGACAGACCTGGGAACTCGCCCTGGCGCAACAGCTAAATAGCAAACAGATGCCTGGCCTGCCAAAGACCTCACCGAGGAGGGCACCGCCTGGGAAACCAGTTCCAGCCCCGCGGTTTCCGGGTGGAAAGGCTGGCGGCTGGATTGCTGTATCCTCTTTGCTGAAATGAACGGGCTTTGAAAGCAGCAGTCCCTTTCCCCCAGGCGCGGGTGCAAAGAGCCAGACCGGGGTCCCGCAAGGGAATCGCCCGCCATGGAAAGTTGTGGCGCTAAGCGGAAGCTTGCTGCCTCCCACTCTCCCCGTACAGGAGCCCCCTCCTCTCCGGTGAGAGCAGATGACCAGCTCCCGCTGTCTGTCGCCTTCTCGAGCTGTCAGCCCAGCTTCTCGAGCTCCAGAAAGTCTCCAGGACTCTGGACCTTGTTTCCAAGTTCTCCTTTGCTGCCTGGGCTGCCCGCACCCGGGCTTACTCAGGAGGGAACTTGGGGGCCACAGTTTTGGCTTCAAATGTTTGGTGTGACGGCGCGCTCGGCGCTCGCAGTTATTTCGGAGCGCGTCTCCGCGGGTCCGGTCCTCCAGTTCCACCCCGTCCCGGCGCACGAAGCCGTGGGTAGCGGCCCACCCATTGTCTTGCCGGCAGCTCAACGCTGTGGTCAAGGCGATGAGGTGCCGGGTACCTGAGCTTTCCCCGACAGCACCTAGAACCGGGGCGCCTCGCCCCAAGCCCCGCGGCCCCGAACAGCCACGTGGGAGAGGTCCGGGCTCGAGGCGGCCGCCGCTCCTCACCGCCCATCCGGGCAGCACGGCTCCCTCTGCACCCTCGGGGCGCGCGCCCTGGGGCGCCGGGTCCGCCTCTTCCCCGGCCTGGCGGGCGGGGTGGGTAGGCAGGGACCTGGATCTGATTAAGTGGGAGAGGGAAGCCATGGACCCGCTCTCTCCCGTCTCTGTCCTCCCAGACTGCTGAGCAGGAGGGACGTGCGGGAGACAAGCGGCGGGGTCCCAACCCGGGCGCCCAGCCTGGGGGTTCGCGCCTGCATCTCGGGTTCGCCCTGGCCATGGGGCCCCCGTCCAGCTCCGGCTTCTACGTGAGCCGCGCCGTGGCCCTTGTGCTGGCCGCGCTGGTCGCCGCGCTGCTCCTGGCGCTCCTCGTCCTCGCCGCCCTCTACGGCCACGGCCCGCGC